GCCTGCAATCCTAGTGTGTAGGAGGCTGAAAACAGGAGGGTAACTACAAGTCTCATCTGTGTAGTGAGACCCTGTAGCCCCTGTACTAAATACATGAAAATCAATAAAATAAAATAAAAATGTTCTCCCTTGGGCTCAGGAGATAGTTCAGTGGTCTAAGCACCTGCCTGGCAAATGCAAAGACCCGGGTTTCATCTTTATGAAACCACATGACGGTACCACATGACGTGCTGGCCCCAAAACCTAGTGCGGTGGTGCACACCGGTAATCCCAGTGCTGGGGAGGGTGAAACAGGAGGATCAGTACAAGTCTGAACTGTGTAGTGAAACCCTGTATCAAATAAATAAATAGAAGATTTTAAAAATGCTCTCCCCATTGTCCTTTTATTTTCTTTTAGTTATGCTGCCTATTTAAAGGGTGCATAAGAACACAAACTATATTCTTCCCATTATAACCATTTGTTCTTAGCTCTGCAAGCAGGCATGTTATTAAGTGCTCACCACCTGTTACGATAATGTCCTCCTGGCCACGCTGAAGCCTGTCCCCTGGGAGTCATCTCAGAAAGGGAGCACCTGTGCTCTTCTGCGTTGAGAACAGGTGTGGCCTTTACCCTGGGAAGTCACTTTGGCTGGCAGACAGGTTACTGCAGCCTTCTGTCATAAAGCACTGCTATCCAAAAGGGAGCTGATAATCTGATTTCTTTTTCCTTATAAGTGAATTTGTTTTGTTAACTTGGAGGCCCTATGCATTTTTTTCCTCTTTGAAATCCACGTACTTTATTAAAATATATCTCAGGATTGATCTTCCACATTGATCTCCGCATGTACGGGATGAGGCCCCTCTATATTAAGGCTTGGATCTTTAAAGTGTTTTTCAGGAAAATTTCAGCAATTAACAGTTTCTTTGTATTCATTCTTTCATTGTTCCCTCCCCTCCCGCAGTGACACCTCGCAGTGACACCTCTCGATTGTCTTCGCCTATCTCCTACATGTGTCACTTTTTCTTGCATGCTTCAGTTTGTCATTATTATCCTGGGAGAGAGATGATTTCATTCTTTTCCCCGTTTTATTCGCTAAGATATTATCAGTCGTACATATTCACTCTGACGTCTGTACTAATTCAGTCTTCATTTGTAAAATGAGTTTCCCTTTTCTTTCCTGAGACCCAATTTCTACTTTGATTCTGACGAGTTCTCTCTTTCTGTAACTTGGGCCATTTCTAATTTCTCCCTGAGAAGCAACACCAGGTCAGAGCTCTTGCTGGTTTTGTGAGTGTGTCCATCTGGAGGCTTCTGGTACCATTGGGGAGGCAGTTCTCTCTCTCTCTCTCTCTCTCTCTCTCTCTCTCTCTCTCTCTCTCTCTCGTATTTAGCACAGGGTCTACAGGGTCTCATTACACAGCTCGGACTCGTAGTGATCCTCCTGTTTTCAGCCTCCCCAGCGCTGGGATCACAGGCATGCGCCACCATGCCCAAACTCGGTCACCAGCTCAGTGCACCCGGGGGTGGAGCTGGCGCGGCAGGTGGTCTTGTTTTTCATAAAAACTTCACTATGAAAAGGGCTGGAAACCTCTTTGTTGCACTCCTTCACATGGAATGATTTTCCTACACATTTAGGAGGGAGAGAAGAACCAGAGCAACTTTTCTAAATTCCAGACTCTACAGCTTTCTCTTGTGACTTTGTGAAATGCTCATGTGTGCCTTCATACTTTCTTCATAGGAGACTTGAGTTTGTCCCCGCTGCCCACCTTACCTGGCCTTCTCTTTCCACTGCTCCACGTCTCCTGGACTATCCCCCATTTGTAGTCTGATCCTGGCAGCATCTCCTCTGGTGCCCGGGAAGCAGCTTGGGCTGTTCTGGAGTCACAGGACCTGGGCTGCTCCAGCTGCATTTATCTGACTTGGAGCTATCAAAATCATGGGCTGCAAATTCACATAAAACCCAGCTTTGCTGCCATCTTCTTAGGGTCTGCTGTACTTTCTGGGGAGCACCTGTTGGCTACTGTGGGGTTATTTTCAGATACCTTACTGCTTCTGCTTCATTCCCTAAAATGCAGATATCATGCAAGTCAGCAGTGCTAACAGCTTCCTCCAACTGGATTCTGGGATCTGTGTGGATGGCCTTCACCAAGTTTTGCTGTAGATGTTGTCCATTGCTGGTTACTCTGTCTTCATGACAGATTCAAGGAGTTACAGAAACTATGCTAGTGCCAGTTGCTTTCCTCATTAATTTCTCTCTTTATACTATGTCAACTGTATAAAAAGTAAACTGACAAGGGGCACACCACCATCCATTAACTTTAATCCTTAAAGTATGGGCTCAACAATGTAGCAGTTATCCAAAACCCATTCCCCTTTCCTTCCCTAGTAACAGTATTATGGTTCATTCTGGTAGCAGTGTGCCCAGTTGATCACTTGCAGCTTCCCCTGCAGCTAGGTGTAACCCCATGAAAGACACCCTGCTCTCCAGTAAGATTTAAGCAGAAGATACTGGGCAGAGTCTTGGAGGAAACCCAACAGAAGGCAGGTTAGCCAAAAGGCCTGGCCCTTTTGTCCTTTCCTTGCTTGCTGCCTGTCAAGAGCTGAGCTTAGCTGAACTGGAGAGAGCTGCCAAGTGTTAGAGCAGTTAAGACAAGTGAGAATGAAACTATCAGCTAAGCTTGCTACAATTGCAGTCAAGACTAAAGTGGAAAAGGCACCAGCTCTCTTAATGTTATTTTTCCCCCCACGGAACAATGTTAGGCAAAGGTCAAGTGAATCAAGATAGACGTTAGGTATCCCTGTGAGGTGGTGGTCATCCCAGGTCACCCCTTTTGAAAGGGATCCCTAATCAAAAGGTTGTCAGTTAAAAAACCCAGGGCCTGACCTTATCAGATACAAAAGTTACATTCCTTGGTATATAGGTCTTGCTATACCTTGGTCTTAACCATCCAGCAGAAAAGTATAAAAACGAGGTATATAAAGTAAATCCATATTAATACGATGAGCTGTAAAAGGCTCAAGTCAATAACTTCTGAGGATAACCCACTAATATTATAGACTGCTAGACAGTGTTAGATTGTTTAGTTGAATTCAAACACCTATAGTATTTAGATGCCAATAGAATATTCACCTCTGACAGGACAAAAAATAATAATAATTAAAAAAAGATACAGGGCTGGTGAGATGGCTCAGTGGTCTAAAGCACCTACTTGGAGCAGGCTTAGCAAAGCACAGCAACCGCGGTTCAATCCCCCAGCACCACATGCCAGCCAGCCCCGCCCCCTGGTGGGCTGAGCTGGCCACACACACTCACATACACACACACACACACATAAATAAATAAAATTAAAAAAAAAAAAGATACAAAGGAAAGATCATTTTGTATTTATATATACAAAATAGGATAAATTTACAGCTACTTTCGCTTAATTCAATGAGAAGAAAGAGGTCTACTAATAGTGTTTGGACAGAATATCCTGTCTGCTTCTTGTACTATGGATAACCACTAAGAAGATAACAATGTACAGTGTACTGACTATCAAAACTGTCCTATTAATCAGCTGTGAAACTGTCTCATTCATATTTATTTCTCAATAAAAAAATAAATATTAAAAAAAAAAAACACCCAGGGCCTACTCAGAAAGAGAAGGGCTGAGTGGAAAAGTCCTATCAAGTGGAGAAAAATATCATAAAGCCCCTCTCTCCTGCTGCCCCCAAGAAGTTGGTCTCTGAAGACCTGAGGGAGGCCATGGCTAGAAAAGGAGGATCCTGGACCAGAAATGCAGAGAAGCAAAAGAAGATGGTGGCCAGAGCAGGGCACAGCAGGGAACCCACGCCCAGCAGTCACAGTACTCCAGCTTTGCACATAGCCTGAAGTGGAGGCCTGTCAGGCAGAGCCACTACTGGGCCTGAAAGATCACAAACGCTGGCAATCTCATGGTGACAAATTCAGCACACCTGCTGAAATCACTGGACATCTGATGGCACCATGGAGGCACCATACTAATCTCATTGTCTCTGAACCTCTTGTAACACATGTGGGCACAATAAAATTGCTAACTTGAATAAGCCACTGTCTGCCTCTGATTTCTCCCTTCAATGCACTCTATTCAGACAGAAGTCCTGCCACAATGTTTCGACTCAGTATTTCATACTTACAGGACATTTACACACCCATTTATCCCTTATATTCTGGGGTATCAAGTAATTAAATCAGACTCCTAGCAGCCTATAGCATAAGAGTAAAATCTCAAGGAAAAATTTCAGGTGAGTTACAAAATTGCAGACGCAGACTATGCATGAATTATTTAGTTACTTTCTTTTTTTGAGACAAGGGTCTCACTATGTAGCTGACTGGCCTTGACTTATGTAGCGCAAATTGGCCCTGAACTTGTAGCAATCTTCCATTTGCAGCTTCCCAAGAACTGGGATGACCACCATGCCCATCATATAAGTTATTATCTTGCAATAAGTTCAGTGGTCCCAAATCTGATTACTAAAGATGAATTTTCAGATTCCATTGTTTGGCTACCTCTGCAGGGCAAGCGGCCAAGGTAGGTGACCTGAACATAATTCAGAGAAGGACAGCAGCAGGTCAGGTGTTAGAAGTGGCCCCACAGTAGAGCCCGTCACCTAGAAGGGAGGCGACAGGGAGGGAATGTGCACGGTGGACCCACTGCCTTGCCTTTTACTCTCAGTCAACATACAGTCAATGGCAATCAATGGATGGAAAAGAAAAAGAATAAACACATGTGCTGGACAACATTTAATTTTTGTTTTTCTATTGTTTTGTGGTGCTAGAGATCAAACCCAGGGCCCCAGGCATGCTGGGCAAGTACTCTATCACCGTGCCACTCCCCAGCCCAGCATTCAGCTGTTTATTAAATAGGTGATGAGCTTCAGTACCATCTGTCCATTTCCTGCTGGCTTTGGCCACTCTGCTTTCCCGCAGCAGATGCCAGGTCCAAAAGAACCACACTCGCCAGTATCTGAAAGAGAACTGAAAAACAAAAAGTAACTTTTAAGACAAAGCTTCTTCCTTACAGAGGGGAGCTACATTACACAAAAGGATATTTTATGTTTGAAAGTGAGTCACTAACTCCCAAAACCTTGAGCCTTGATTTCTGTGCTCAAAGTGGAAATCACTGTTACAGGAGAGCTGACTTTTTAGAAAGTCTTCCTCTATGCCCTTGGAATTCCAGCGATCTTATCCAGCCCTTATGCTAACCTTTGCAGACCATCCCTCTCTCCTCTCTGGAATCCCTGTAAGGCACTACAGCAGGAGCAACAAAGCGGACACAGAGAAACTTAGAAAGATGTGCGAACTGGAAATCTGAGTGTGGTGGTAAAACACAAGAATACGAAGCAGGACATTCAGGACAGGGTCAGGTCTCTGCAATCCAAGGAGTTTGGGTTGTATTTCTTTATTTTTTAAAAATTTTTTCCCTTTAATTTTATTTCATTTTGAAAAGTAAAAACAAAAGCAAGAACAAAAAAAAAAAAAAAATTAGAGGGCTGGTGAGATGGCTCAGTGGTCTAAAGCACCTACTTAGAACGAGCTTAGCAAAGCACAGGGACCACAGTTCAATCCCCCAGCACCACATGTCAGCCAGCCCCGCCCCCTGGTGTGCAGAGCTGGCCACACACACACACACACACACACACACACAAATAAATAAAATAAAAAAAAAATTAGAAACCAAGACAAAAACTGGGTAACATACAACAATACATGTTACAGATTTCCAAAACAAGAATAGCTAATTAGGGGCTGGGGAGATGGCTCAGTAGAATAAGTGCTTCCCTGGTAAGTGTAAGGGTCTGAGTTCAATTCCTGGTTCCACAAAAAAAAAAAAAAAAAAAAAAAAAAAAAAAAAAGAATAGCTAATTAACAATGATTGATATATTATCTATTTTTTGTCACATCTGTTGCTTAAAGACATAGTTACATAAGAATGGACATATGACTACATATTACCACTTGCTTTGAAGAAGCCTTAAAGTTTTGTTCTAGTCTCTTTTTTTTTTTCTTTTTTACCTTTTATTTTCTTTAGACAACAGGGATAGGGGGAAAAAAGTTGTTCGGTGTGTTGCTTTGGCAATACCAGGGCCTTCTCACTGAGCTACATTCCAGCCCTTTTCTCTTTTTTATTTTGAGGCAGGGTTCTGCTAAGTTGCCCAGCCTGGGCTGCAACTCACTATCCCCCTGCCTCAGCATCCCTCAGCCACCGCAGTGGCCAGGGTGTTGTTTTCAGGCATGTTCAGTGTTCAGAGGCAGAAGCGTGTGCCTGCCTTGTTTGTTTGCTTTTGAAAGAATATGCACTGTAAGCTCAAGCTGATCCTTCCAATTCTGCTTAGCAGTATGGGGGTTTTACTCAATTATTTCACCTTATGTCTACATCTACTCTCTGCCTACCAAGGGTCTCATGTTTCAGTGATGCCAGTCTGATAAGTGTTGGAGAATCTGACAAATACTTGTTTTATGTCCCATATACTCACAACAGTCTAATGATAACAGTGTCAAGGGCTGGCCAAATAGCACAGCAGATTAAAGCACCTGCAAGCAGGTGCAGAGGCCAGGGGTTCGATCCATGCTGGCCCTGCCCTCAGGGCATGGTGGTGGTGCATGCCTGTAATCCCAGAGTTTGGGAGGCGGTAAACAGGTGGATCACTATGAGTCTGATCTAATAGTGAGACCCTGACTACCTTGTAGACTCTTCCCTAAAATACAAAACAAACAAACAAAACACTGTCCGCACTACCAGGGCTCAATCTCAGGCAGGCCATGCCATCCTTACCCCTGGGGCACACTGAGACAAAGACTGAGACAGGGGAACTGGGCATGGTGGCACGTGCCTGTAATCCCAGCGGTTGGGAGGCTGCAAATAGGAGACTCACTACGAGTCCAATCTGAGTAGTGAGACCCTGGAGACTCTGTACTGAATACATTAAAAAAAAAAACAACGAGGCTGGCACACTTGGCCATAGGAGACAGCATGTGAGCAAAACTCAGAAGCCAGGCTATGAGGCTCCCAGTGGCCAAAGATGGGAGCATTTAAACATCAATAAAGGTAACACTTGCAACATACTGCAGCTGCTGGCACTGGCTAAGAGTTCAGTGAACTAACTGTTGTCCTGAAAGGAGGTAAATAAAGAAGAGGAATTATTTTTCTTGTCTTTCTCATATACATTAACGAATAGTAGTTGAAGTGTATTTTCACCAAAGAAGTATTCTAGTTATAAACAAAGATAAAATTGGAATATCACCCTTTTAAAAGCCCTAATAGGTTACTAGATTTAGGTACTGTTTGCTGCTGGCCACTCATATCAAAGAGAGACAATTAGACATGCATATAATGAGTTTGGGAGGGAAGAATCTAACAGTGCACATCAAGTAGTCAAAAAAATAAATAAATAAATTCTGATTGAGCCTTTAGATCCAACCACTAATTCAGAGGGCTGAGGAACATGTTAACTGAATCATGAAGATATAATCAACAAAATCTAAATAATGAGAAGCTAAGATAAATGAACCCTCAGCAAACAAGGGAAAAGAGTCAAAGTAGGAATCCAACCCCGCCCCCAGGAACTCAGGACCTCATGCTTGCTGGGCAGGCTCTGTGCCTGCTGAGCTACAGCCTCAGCCCAGCAGCAATCTATAATTTAAACACATCAACCACTTATAGAATAAGTGGACCTTATTTGGATCTGACTCAAACAAGTGGAAAAAGTGCATATTTGTGAAGTATTCTGAAATCCAAATACTGCTATTTTTAAGAGTATTTTTTTACAGACACAGAGTTTAAAAATGTATGGATGAAACAACAGAATCTTAGATTTGCTTCAAAACAGTATGAGTTCAATTCCCAGTACCAAAAAAAAAAAAAAAAGAAAAAAAGAAAAAAAGAAAAGAAAGAAAAGAAAGAAAGAAAGAAAGGAAAAGAAAAAAAGCAATATGGAAGAAAGACAGGCAACGAGCAGATGATAAACCAATACTGACCAAGTGATTTACTATCACTCTACCTTTGGGTATGTTAAAATCTACCATTAAGTTAAAGAAGAATAAAAAGTTACTATAGTGACCCATTTGCTGCCCTCGGGCCCTCCAGTAGATAAGGAAAAACAAAGAAAACTGAGAAAGAAACTGGGGAACTGGGCATGGTGGCAGAAACAGTCCAGGGGCTGCAAATGTATTCTCTGGGAAGGGACACTTTTGTGCCCATGTGACCTCATACAGTTTGGATGTTCTGTTAGTGGAGATTATAGCACGGAGTTAAAGCTGATTTCAGAATTAAAGAATTGATGTGTATAAACCCCACAAAGTGGCTTATAAAACAAATGCTCTCAACATGAGCAAGTGAATGGTAATTGCATGCAGACCCTGTGTACCAAATCAAGGAGGGTTTTAATTACAAAGGACTCTCCAGAAGCCCTCTGTTCATCTATTATTAAACTCTTATCACAGTGCAGTACAATTATCTGCTGGTGGGGGTCGGTTCCACCCACGGGAAGGCAGCCAACTCTGGGCGTGGTCCTTCACAGGTTCCATCCCTCATGCAAAAGCCAAGCTCCCCAGATCCACTTACCCGGCTGTAGCAGGATCCTGGCTCAAAGAAGAAACAGCAATGCCCAGACAATAGTGAGTGAAGAGGGAGGGACAGAAGCCAGACATTCTCCATCCCGTGTCAGTGGCTTATGTAGGAGGAGCTTCTCTACTCATAAGTAATCAGAAGACCCCCCTCCCCCTGGGATTCTGAGGTCCTAGGGAGCGAAGGGGTTAATGCTCTCCCAGGAACCTATTCCAGGCTAAGGCTCTGACTGTACAGGTTTATATGGGGAAGGTTATCATGGAGATTAGAAGCCTCTGTGTGTGTGTGTGTGTGTGTGTGTGTGTGTGTGTGTGTAACCAGGGGTTGAACTGGGGACCCTGTGCTTGCCAGGCAGGTGCTTATGCCACTGAGCTATCTCCCCAGCTCTAGAAGTCATTCTTTTTTTGATGAGAGTTGGAGTCCAGAGATTACAGTAGAAGACACAACCAGTTCATAAATATGCAGCGCCCAGGGCCAGGACAGCCCCTCTTCTTGGCAAAGTGATGGATGCTCCTGCCAGGGAGGCTGCAAAGGTGCTGTTCTTCACTATCTTATTTGGAGACCTGACAGCCGAGGGAGGTGCTGCCACCTAAGTTTATAGATTAGAGCAAAGCCTAGGGGTGTCCAGTCTATGGAGCTCAGGATGGAAGCTCCCCCAAGGCTCCTGAGGGCCAGGCTGTCCTTGGACACAGCTCTGCTTCCCACAGGTTACAGTACGTGCAGTTCTTGGCCTGCAGCTTTTACAAGGAAAGGCCAGGATCAAACTGAAATCCCATTCAGGAGGAGGTCAAAATAGCCCTCCCAGGGATGACCTGGGGTATCTTGGGCAAAGGGACAGGTAAGAGCAAATAGGTTCTTGTATCTATCTCTGTCCCTCTCTAGTTGGGCTCAGAATTCCTTGTTCTTGAGATGCGAACATACATGGTGTTGCCACGTTACCTTGATCAGCCTATAAGGTCCCCTTCTCCAAAACCATAGGTAGCTCTCTTTACTGCCCAACCTTCGGGACCTACTTCTAACAATCCTACCCCCACCCCTGGAAGCCACCTGGGCCACAGTGTTCAGCTGACAACATGCCGAAGGCACTTTTCACACTGAATCTATTATTAGGCTGTTCACCTCACCATGAGGCCAGGACTGAAATCTGATTTCCAGAGGCCAGAGCACCATCAATAAAGGTGTGAATGAAAGAGTAAAGGGTGGCCCTGAGCCCAGCAAGCCAGATGTTTTGGGAAAGGCCTCAGCCTGACCTGTACCTTCATCTTATGAGGATTCATTCATCCTCCTGCTATGAACGAGCACTGGGCCAGGCACTGCAGAGGCCAAGTCAGGTAGGACTCTGTCCCCTCCCCATGGCCTTCAGTCCCAAGAAGCGGCCCACTGTGCCCTGGGGCCTTCTCTACCAGTGATTGTTGGGAGTTCATCTACAGAACAAGCTGAACAAGAGCAGACTTTTAACCATGATGTAGAGAGCTACAACTCTTCACTCTATGGCAACAGGCTGAAAAACCAACGTGCTGAGAGGCGGTGGAAGGAGCTTTAAGAACTTTTTATATTTCACTCAAAAAATAGAGCCAAGCTTTAATTCACTACCAAATGGAATGACAACAGTATATGTAGGGGGCCTGCCCATTAGCTCAGTTGTTTAAGTGCCTGCTTAAGCAAAGGCAGTCAGGCTCAGGATACTGTGGTTCAATTCCCAGATACTCAAGCCTTACCAGACCTGCCCTTAAAGCATCCTAAGCCAGGCCAAAAAAAAAAAAAAATCTGAATGAATTAAAAAAAACCAACAATATATGTAGATACTTGAAATACATACATATATCACACCAGTTTCTGCTTCTGGAACAGACTTGAAAATGGCCTCCACAAACCTTGTCTCCAGGCAGTCGTGGCCTGTACAATTTCCTCCTTCTGAGTTTCATTTGCTTCAAACCAACAGAATACAGCAAAGTAACAACTATCATTTTCAAGTCTATACAACTGTAACTTTGTATGCTAACAGACTCTCTAGTGTCTACCTTTATGGCTTTGACGAAACAGCCTCAGATGAAGAGGCTGCACATATCAAGGAACTGAGGGTGGCCTCCACTAGAGAGTGAGGCGGCCCTTATCCTGACCAGCCACAAGGAACTGAGGCCTGCTGGTCCTGTAGGGGCTGGGAAGCTCTTCCCCCAGCGCAGCACTGAGATGAGGCCCCCCACTCACTCACACCCTTGGAAGAGAACCAAAAGGAGAGGAGCAGGCTGAGCAATGCCCCGATTCCCAACCCACAGACACTGTAAGGAGCTACACCTGCACAGCTATTGCTGGACAACAACAGAGAAGTCACATCAGACTCAGGCTTACAACTGAGAAGACTTGCAGCAAAGGAGGGAGGTGTGTACCAGGGATACAGCTCAGTGGCATGTCTGCTTGGCAAATGCAAGGAGTTCAATCCCTGATGTGAGAGAGAGAGGGAAGGGGGCAGGCCTTGGCTTCCTTATTGTGAGGTGAGGAGGGAATCCCATACCTTCTCCAAGGGTCTTGACTTTCTTGGATTCTAATATACCTCCATGAGAAAAGATGGGGGAGTGATGACCTGTGGCAATTTATGACAGTTCTCTGCTCTGTCCATTCACCAGGGAGCATGGCCTACCCCAAGATCACTGGAGGCAGCTCTGACCAGTCACATCTTGCCAGTTGTCGGACCTGCAACCTGAATTCCTCAATTAAGGAAATCAAGGGTCACAATAAAATCAGTGGGAACTATCAAGTTTCCATACACATTCTTGGCCTACCAACAATGGGGCAGGGTTGGTTTCTTTTTTTTTGAAGAGTGTTGAGACAAAGTTTCACTGTGTAGTCCAAGCTGGCCTTGAACTAATGAGCCTCCTGTCTCAGTCTACTGAGTGTTGGGATTAAAAGTGCTATGAAAGGGCTAGCCAAATAGCTCAGTGGATTAAAGCACCTGCAAGCAGGTTTGATCCCCAGGCTTGCCATGCCAGCCCTACCCCCGGGGGTGGGCTGAGACAGCAATTGAGATTGGGCATGGCAGTGTGCACCTATAATCCCAACTCTTGGGAAGCTGTAAACAGGCGGATCACTACAAGTCAAATGTAGTAGTGAGCCCCTGAACACCCTGTAGACCCTTCTCTAAAATACAAAATAAATAAATAAAAGTGTTATGAGCAACTGTATGCCAAGCACTTTTGTAAACATCATCTCTAATCGTCATTATGTGGGGAAGGGTGTTGTGTGTCAGGGATTGAATCCAAGGTCTTCATACTGAGCTACATCCTCAGCTATATCTGTGTGTGTGTGTGCACGCATGCGCACGCTGGGAATCAAACTTAGGACCTTGCACTTGCCAGAATGATTTTGCCATACGATATATCCCCAGCCTTCCTCCGTTTTTTTGTTTTGTTTTGTTTTTTGTTTTTTGTTGTTTGTTTGTTTTGTTTTTTTGTGGTACCAGGGATCAAACTTGGAACCTTGCACTTGACAGGCAGGTACTTAAGCCACTGAGCTATATTCCCTAGCCATCTTTTCTTTTAAGGTAGGGTCTTTCTACGTTGTTAAGGCTGGCAAGATAGCTCAGCACACTAAGTACCTGCTTTGGCAGGCGCATGCTGTACTGGCCCTGCCCCCAGAGCACACTGAGCCAGCGAATGGGTAGGGGGGAAAGGGGTGTGGGCGCAAGCCTGTAATCCCAGCAGTGCGGAGGCTGAAAACAAGAGGATCACTATGAGTCAGAGCTGCGTAGTGAGACCCTGTACCAAGTACATGAATGAGGGAAAAAAAATAAAAGTGTTAAGTTACCCAGGCTAGGCTCAAACTTGTGATCCTCTTGTCTTAGCCTCAAGTAGCCGGCACTATAGGCAGGTACCTTATCTTGTAATACAGATTGTGTTATCCTTATCTTATGATTAGCTAAGGCTCAAAGAGAGTAAGCCCCTCACAGTGTTAGTACAGATACGAATAAGATTTAATTGTATTTCTACCTGATGATAAAGCTCCAAGCTTTGCATATAGTCCACTGTTCCAGGACAGAGCAGATTGGGCAGAAAGGTCAGCTGGTGAGGACAAAGCACAAGAAAAGTCCTTGGCCCACAGTGAGATCGTGTGCAGAAGGTGGCTTCATTCACTCTTTCCACAAGTGTTTGAGCATCCAGTGACTCTGGGCTATGGGACGGGCCACGATGGATGCTCTCATGGAGCTGAGTCTCACTGGAGAGACACACTAGTCCACTAAGGATCGATGGATTGTTACATGACTAACAAATTAATGGGCTGGCAGATGGACACACAGACAATGACTGATATATGTGTAATACAAATATAAAATAGTATGATAAGACAAGTGATCAGTTTTGGAAGGGTAGAAACATCTGAAAAAACTGGAACTGCAACTATCTAGCATGATTTATTCCAAAAAGCTTGAATGCAATCCCCAGTGCCACACCCACAAAAAAGTTCAGCATAGCTGCAGTCCGGGTTAACTAAGAACATGGAACAGCAAGGCAAAGGACAAGCCATGAGGTTGACTACTTCCCTTGTACACTCTTTAACAAGCCATTCACAGTGGAATCACCTCAGAGGCCCTGAGAATAAATGAGACATGAAAGTTTAGAAGGTTTAGAGAACTCTGGGAGTAATTTAAGAGGGGTCAACACGGGGTCTGAGCCAGAAGGAGAAGCCACAGAGACACTAGAAGAACTACCAAGACTGTTAGGAAACAACCTATGTTGTGCTGCTAGAAAAGGTAAGTGGAGTAAAGGAAGGGGGACAGTAGGACAAAGGCAGAGGCTTCTCTTACAGCAGAACTAAAAAACTCATATTCTCCAATGTAGGAGGCTGATATCATATGGATTCTTTTTTTTTTTTTTTTTGCAGACCTGGGGATTGAACTCAGACCCTTGCACTTGCCAGTGAAGTGCTTATTGTACTGAGCCATCTCCCTGGCCCTCATATGGATTTAAAGCCTGAAGCTTTCAACTATAAGGACACACGTACAGCCAGGCACACTCCCACCCATGGGAAATGCAGGAAAAGCATGTAGATCACTTTTTTTTTTTTTTTTTTTTTTTGTGGTAGCAGGGATTGAACTCAGGACCTTGCGATTGCCAGGCAAGCACTTATTCCACTGAGCTATCTCCCTGGCCCACCACTCTGTTCTTGATGTTACCAGAAACTGTTCTCCTGCTCATCTTCTACTGTACTACACAACAAGATACAAATGTAAGCTCTTACTTTTCTTCTTAGCTGAACTTGGCTGCTGCAATGGTTTGGTTAGGAGCAGCTGCAGTTGCTAGGAGATGGTCCATCTCTGGTGCATCAAAAAAGTAGGCCTGCAGGAAAAAAGGGGCAGGAGGGAGTCACAAACAATGGTCCAGTAAGTGTTCTAGGCTCCACGCTAACAGCCCCCAGTTCTCGTGGTCCCTACGTCCCCCTTCCTGTACTTGCCACCACACTGAGTGTGACTGTCTTTATGTCTCACTCATCTGTGCTACCTTTATTGTTTTTAAGCAGTGACAAAGTTTACTTGGAAAAGTAAAAGTGAAGAACAAGACAGAAACTGCTCTGCAGAGCAAACCTGGACCAAGGAAAAGAGGAAAGAGTAAGATAAAAGGATACCCTGGAGACAGCAGGGTGGGCTATCCTGAGGAAAGTCATGATGGCAAGCTCCTCTGGGGGTGTGTATGTGCACCTTTTGAAATTAAGCCTCCATTTATTGAGCACTTACTATGTTACATGGCTTAACAACCCTGCCAGGTCATTACAACTATTCTATGAAAGATGATGAAACTGACACTCAGACATGGTCACAAATGATGGGGCCAGGACTCAAGGGTAGGTCTACCCGACTCCAAAATGCTGTTGGTCTCTCTTCTAGAGCAGAGACAGTCCCTGAAGCCTTCTCTGTGCCACCAGCACCCTGCACAAGGCCTGGCACACTATGTAAACAATCAGTACTTAACAGCACAAAATACAGGCAGATAGTTGCTAAAGCAGTCATTGGCTCTCTGCACAGATAGTGCTGGGTCTGCTTCCCTTCCTAATTACTCCACTTGGAAATGAAAGGTTTGCTAAGTGCTTCTAGTCACCATTTCCAATTTAACTGTCAAAAATCAGAAGGGGGGCACAGGAAGAAAGACATCAAGGAGGACCTTCCTGTCTCAGGGGCTGTGCATCCTAACATTAGCCCAGCAAAATGTCAACCTCGCTTCCTCAAACACTGGCTGTTCAAAGGGAAAGTACAACCAAGGGCTACCAACAGCCGGGGACCCCCTTGGCAGCAGTGCATTAAGATGAAGTTAACAAGCCACAAAGATCCACTTTCACCAGCTCTGCTGTCGACCAGCCAGAAGGGGGCACCAACGTAACATGCTGGGGCCTACCTGACATACTTCCGGTCTGCGCTGTTCTTTTTTTTTTTTTTTTTTTTTTTGGCAGAATCGGGGATTGAACTCAGACCCTTGCGCTTGCCAGGGTGTTCTTTTCAAGAAGTTCCCTGCTGCCGCCTTTTCTAATTGTTTCTAGTTCGTCCATCCCAGAAGTAGCCCTACTTTGTTTAAAAGGCTTCCTCCCTAGGGCCCCTTCCGGCAGCTGCTTTCTAGGGCAGGGAAAGAGAAGTTCTAAATTTAAGGGGAGCAGCAGCCACGCTGCCCATCTAGTCTCTTCTCCCGCAGGAGCCATCACCATGGCCTCCGATGGAGGACGAGGACGAGGAGCTCTCTTCCTGGCTTCTGGAAGCAACACTGGTGAGACGGGATGAACCAGGTTCAGGTTCTACAGCTCCTAACTCACACAGGGCTCCCAGACAGATCCTTCTGCCCTAAGAGCCTCGGCTTTATCTGTAAAACTGAGGACTGAAAAGATGATCTCTAAGGGCCATTTCTTTGTCTTTTCTTTTTTTGGTATACTGGGGTATTGAACCCAGGGTCTTCTCACTGAACTATATCCCAGCCCTTTTCTATTTTTTATTAGAGCCAGGGTCTCCTTAAGTTGCCTAAGTGGAGCCTTATCTCCAGTGTAAAGATGAAAAAGCTAAGATTTTTTTGAGGTCTCATAGCTGTGCCTGGTCTTCAACATAGCTTGCAACTTGGCAGCAGGTCTACACCCAGCCCATGAAGCCTCAGAGAAGACCACATGCTCTCTAGCAGCAGACAAGGCACAGGGCCTCTGCTGTCAGCAGGTCCCCTCCAACCCAAGCTTTTGTGACCCTAAACAGCCCCAAATACTCCAGAAGCAGCCTCTGCCATGCCTGCCAGGTGTGTTCCAACAGGATCTAGGGTATCATTTGCAAGTGCGCTGAGGGGCTCTCAGCGGGTGTGAGGCCTTCACATGCTTCACCACCCCATGCTAGCACCTACAGTCAACTCCATTGTCCTGTTCTTAAGACTTTCTACCTTGTAGCAATTCTCCTGTCTCAGCCTCCCCAGTACTGGAATTACAGGTGTGTGCCACCACACTTGGTTTTGGTGACCAGCACACTGTGCCCAGGTTCGGGGCTTGTGCAACATATGGTGCTGGGGATTGAACCCAGGTCCCTATGCTTGCCAGGCAGGTGCTTAGACCACTAAGCTATCTCCCCAGCCTCTACCTATGAAACTTTAAATTCAAACTCCTTCTAGTTATGATAGAAGCCAACAAAGCAAAATATTTTGTAATTTTTTTTTTTTTTTTCCAGAACCGGGGATTGAACTCAGGCCCTTGTGCTTGCCAGGGAAGCACTTATTCCACTGAGCCATCTCCCCGGCCCCTTGATCTTGAACTTTTGATCTTCCTGCCTCAGCCTCCTGAGTGCTGGGATAACAAGCATGCACCAGTACACCCAGCTATGGAGTCGTTTTGGGGTTTTTTTTGGTACTGGGAGTCAAAGCTCGGTCCCTGCACTTGCCAGGCAGGCGCTTAAACCACTGAGCTATCTCCCCAGCTATGAAGTAAATTTTATTTTATTTTTTTATTTATTTAGTATTTAGGACAGGGTGCACAGGGTCTCACTGTGTAGATCGGACTCATAGTGATCCTCCTGTTTTTAGCCTCCCAACTGCTGGGATTACAGGCACACGCCACCACGCCCAGTCTCAACTGCCCTCTCAGTGCACCCCAGGGGTGGGGCTGGCATGGCAGGCCAGGGGATTGAACTCCTGGTTTAATCCACTGAGCTATTTGGCTGGCCCTTGGAGTAAAATTTATTTTTAATTTTATTTATTTATTTATTTAGGCAGAACCTGGGATTGAACTCAGTCCCTTGCACTTGCCAGGCAAGCACTTATTCTACTGAGCTATCTCCCCAGCCCCTGGAGTAAATTTTAAAAAATAGTTAGAGGTCTTTTAGAATTTGTGTATGAAATACGCCAAAAGAACTCAGGAATAAGACCATACCAAGCAGCCCACAGAGAGAAGCATGTGAAGCAACACAATTGTCACGATTGTGGCCATCGAAACACGTCGGTTATCCTCACGAACGGCTGGCCAGAACGTCATTGCCAAGACAGATCCTGAGATGCCCAGGGCAATCATGACTAGAATCCAACGAACTACTTTCTGGGGGATAATCCACAGAATCTGAAAGAAGAGAAAAGAAAGGTGGAGGAAGAGTTGTTAGGAGGCATTTTAGAGAAGTATTTGTCTACTCTAGATACACACATTTATAAATCCCCAAGCCAATCAGAGGCTGGGCCCCCACCATGCATCTGCTCTCCAGGACCAGCTGGAGAAACCCCTCCAGCAACTAGACTGAGGCAGATGCTTTAGGGGCTGCAAGCCAGGCAGGAACTTGGCCCCCTGGTCTGCATTTACTTTAAATTCAAAGGGGACTGTTGGCAACATGAGAGTTTGTTTGGAAACAACACCACCTGGTCAAATTCATGTTGAATTTTCCTCCATGAAGAGAATGTCATTCAGAGATTGCTCAACAGTGTGTACTTACTGCTGTGGGGATATAAATGAAGAGCGAATAGCCATAGACGCACACAATCTCCAGAAATGAATAGGAAACGATGTTCATAACCTTGCTATTTCTCCACATGAGGAAACCCCAGAGAGCAAGAGGAACCAGCCAGGCATAGGCATAGATGACTGTGGCTGCTATGGACACTGTGGATGACAGGACACAGTTTTATTCCCCACCATGATGACTTCTGAAAAACATATCACCTTTTTTCCCAACATGGTAATTTACAGGAGTAGACTGGGATTATGTCTTACTGGTCTGCACTTCCTGGGTCTGGCATAGTATCTGATACTCACTGGGTGCCTTACAAATATCTGCAGAACTAGTGGATCTTTAGCACTTGCCTTTGTTGTGATAGCAGGACTCTTCTATATGCCTTTTATAATTCATTTAATAACAACTAATATTATTAAGCAACTGAATTATGCAAGCAAACTACTTCAGAGGCCCACACAGCTAGCATTTAAATATGCTGAACATTTCAATCAAATAAAAGCCAACTATCCCCTTGGAAGAATACATCCTCCTCGCTAGCAAAACAGGAGCTGACACTGATTTCTTTAGTGAATTTATTAAAATGCCCTGGGTACAGATTAACTTGCTCTGCATGCTATTTAGATCTTTCTGTCTCTGCAATACAGAGTTCCAGCTCACTGATGAATTGCACGCACTATTCTCCAGTTTCACTTTCTTCTTACATGAATAACTGCCTCGGTGGTAGAGTGCAGACAGAGCCCCTGGGAACACAGTGCCAGTGTGCTGCTCCCTCCCTCCCCTCTCGAAGCAGCCGCCAGCCAGGGCTCACTTCCCTCTTCTGAAAGGCAAGGCTAAGCCTGGGCACCAGTCTTTCCTATGTGGAAACCAGCAGGCAGTTCACTTAACACACCTGGGCAAGAACAAAGCCACCGAGCCCCCAACAATTACATCAGATTCTGGTTAAGATGCGATCATCCAAAACATCTGGAGCTCCTAAAGCAGGTTTTTTACACTGGAACTCTCATTAAGCCAGATATTTTTTTATTTTATTTTATTTTATTTTATTTTATTTTATTTATTTTTTATTTTTTTTTTTTTGAGGTACCAGGGATTGAACTCAGGACCTTGTGCTTGCCAGGCAAGTGTATATTCTACTGAGCTAGCTCCCTGGCTCCGCCAGATGTAATTTTGTTGACATGACTGATGTCTTTTCTTTGGATAACCAAAGGAACAGAAATGAAATTCTACTCTAGCTGTAGGTAACACTTAATTATCACATACTGGGCACCAGGCATCACACTCAGGGTTTGACCAACGGGCAAGGATGTGTGACAGTCAGGGCACAGAACCTACATGCAGATGGCATGGCTAACCCCAGGCAAAGGAGATTGCAGGTGGTGAGTTACTTAACCCTCCTGCATTAGTTTCCCTAAAATCTATACAGTGGAAACAAAATCATGTTTAGAATTACTAGAATTAACCAGAAACTGGTAAGAACTCAGTAGAGTAGGATTGATAATAATAAATGTTCAATCAAGACTTATTTGTTTATAATATTAACTAATATGTGTATTCTTTCATACAATCTATATTATTGTTTTGGCGAAGAAACAAGAGCAGAAGAATTAATTTGCTCAAGATCATACAATTAACAAGTTGGTGAAAGCTGGATATCAATCCAGATGTGACTCATATTCCACATAAAATGGGACATTGCTTACCGATGTGGTTGCGACCATCTTACTGGTACATGTATCATGGCAGTCTCTGATACAGATAAAGATGCTCCCATGCTTCCAGGTGCCCATGAAGTGTGGCTCACTCTTCCATGTAATACACCCACACAGACCCATACAGAAGTTAACATGTGCGGGGTGTGGTGGTTCACACTTTCAATCCCAGCACTTGGGAGGGTGAGGCAAGAGAATCCAAGTTCAAGGCCAGCCTGGGCTACAAAGTGAGTTCAAGGCCGGCCTGAACTGCATAGCAAGTTCCTATCTCAAAAAAAAAGTTAACATGTACTATGTACAGCAATACTCATTTACCTCAATTATTCATTTCTTGCTTTAAGTGTTGAGCTATGCTGTTTGTTTCTCAATAAAATTATGGAAAAAAAATTTTAAAATTAAAAAATTTTTTTTAAAAAGTGTTGAGGTACTTGAAGCCAGGCTTAAATTCAAGCCAAAGATATCTGATAGGGCTGGTGAGATGGCTCAGCGGTCTAAAGCACCTACTTAGAACAAGCTTAGCACAGGGACCGCGGTTCAATCCCCCAGCACCACATGCCAGCTAGCCCCGCCCCTAGGTGGGCTGAGCTGCCCCCCACACACACACTCTAAATAAAAGAAATAAACTTTTTTTTTAAAAAAAAAGATATTTGATAAACAGAGTTGGGACCAAAGCTGGGACTGACTCCACAACAGAGAAGGAAATACAATGGAAAATTGTTACAGAAGGCAGAAGGGAGGAAGACAAAGGAGGATACACAGATGCTCTCTCATATATATACACACACAAATACATGTCTCTATGCACACATGTGTATATGTGCACACAAATATGCACACATCTATCAGAGAGAGCAGTTGTTAGTATTTATTGCATTCATTTTGTACAAGCCACTACTCTAATGCATGTATCAACTCTTTCTCCTTATAACAGCCCAATCATGTAGTATCATTTCCATTTCACCAATGAATTTGAGGCCAGGAGAGATGACAACTTGCTCCACAAGGAGAAGCTGGGGAGAGGCAGAGCTGGAAGCTGCAGCCCGTGCTGTGCTCTGGAGCTGCTCTTGCGCAGGCCACCGATGCTCTCTCAGGACAAGGTCAATCTGTTATAAGGCCAGATTTCCTCACTTTGGGGTAGCTGTCATCTGTAAATCCCTCAGAGCTGTTCTGCTCTTTTCACTGCCTAATACTGACACAGAAAGGAAGTTTTAAAGTAAGAATGTGATTTACAAGCCCATCGCCAGGTGGGGTTTCTGCATTCTCCCTTCCAGGCCTTGACCACTTCTCTGTAACAAAGCTGCTTACAGAACAGGCACCAATCTGGCATCAGCGCTCTGTTTCCCACGTTGCTCTTCATGATCAGTGGTCACAGTCTATCTCAGCTATCCGAGCCACCACAGGCGAAGTACAACGGCCCCAGTGTCTCCAGTGCTATGAACAATGCTTCAATGGAAACCTTCACACGCACTGCTTTCTAGTTATTTTCTACTTTTTTAATGGAATAAAATCCAACTATTGCTGGATTCTTTCTGGATCTTTATAGCTTTCCTAAAAGTTGTATGAATTTATAATACTGTGAAAGTACTTATGCCTCTGAATTCATGTATTTAAAATGCTTTTATGTTACATACACTTTACCACAGGAGGGGGGAAAAAAAAGAATGGGGGTGATAGCTCTGAGCCAGGAAAGATGTTTGAATCTTAAAACAGAGAAAGCAGGGGCTGCAGCCCCAAGACATGGGGCCCATGGGCTGGGGGAAAAGAACTCATGGTTAGAAACCGGCAGCGTCCTTAGTGAGAGCCGCACTATTCACCAACCTTTGCGGAATTCGGGCACATAATGGTATGTCTTCTCTCCCAGATGGATTAAGAAGTTGGAAAGATTCCCACTAATTGCTATGGCAAAGACCAATGTGGCACATATCCAAAAGGGCCCTGCAGAAGCAACCAGAAAATCCAGACACATGAAAATGAAGCAATTGCCTTCAGACTCTTACAGAATAATTTATGTTCCTTTCTCCATTCATGTAAGTGAGGGAAAATGAAGTTTGGAGGCACTCAACACTTATTTAGTGGGGATTTGCTTTTTTAAAAGGTCAAAACACAACTCAGCAATTAGGTGCCTTAAAGACGAGGCAGATTAGGCTCTAAAGGCCGCACTACCTCCCACAATTAGCTGAATAAAGATGTTGATTTGTGTATAGTTTCTTTTATTGGATGATCACCAAAAAATTTGTAGACATTTGGTCAAATCCTCATCAGAATGTAAGAAGCAATGATTACTTCCTTTATCTAAGTGTTAAATGTTAATGGCAGAGAAAAATAAGTTGAATCAGACAGGTCTTCCTGCGGCTTCAGTGAAGAGCCAGACAAGCGCGACACTGTAACACTCTAGGCGGGAGTGTTAATCTAGTCTGTCACGAGGCCATGCTTGCGTTGTAAGAGGACAGTTTAAGGCTTCTCTTCTTTTTCAACAAAAATCTAACATACACACACTGTTCAATGTGTAAAGGGTGGAAAATGGAATACAAAGGAAAGTTAAGACTTCTTCCCTGTTGGCAGTGCCCTAACTCTCTATTTGGTCTCTCTGGAGCTTACCACTGTAACCAGTTTCTAGCAAATTCCTACCGCAAATACTGTTCACATAGAAGTGAGCATGTGTGTATTTGTGTGCATGTGCATTTGCTTTTTATTTTTGTTTTCTACAACTGGAGACTGAACCCATAGGCTTCACCCAGAGCTACCCCCTGCACCCGTACTGACTGACTGACCAGGGAAAATCAGCACCTTTGTGTTAAGGTAAAACCTTACTCATTCACTTAACTGATAGGCAAATTAACTCAAGGTCTTTACTATAAACTACATCCTCAGCCCATTTTTAATTTTCAAGATACGGTCTTGCTAGGCCGCCAAGATGCCAAGGCTAGGCTCGATCTTGGGATCGTCCTGCCTTAAGCATGCAGCACTACTGCAGGCTGTGCGTATTTGTTTTATACAGATGATGACATACATGTATATTCTGCTGGGCAGCTTTCTATTTGTGTCTTAATACAGCTTAGATTCTACCACAGCTAGTCATTTATAAAAATCAGCCTATTCTCTAAATGGTTATAAAATGTTCACTGAGTGAATGAATGCACCACGGTTTGCAAACCCCTTCCAAGGCACCATCCTTGTCTTTCCACACCTAGAAGAAGTATGACATGGAACAAATGTAATGTTTCTTTGTTTGAGACAGGGTCTATGTAGTACAAGCTGACTGTGAACTCACTAGCCCAGACTAGCCTCCAACTAAAGCGGTCTTCCTGCCTCAGCTTTCTAAGTGCTGCTTTTATTTATTTAGCAGTGCCAGGGATTGAACTCAGGACCCTGTGCTTGCCAGGCAAGCACCCAAGTGCTGTTTTTAAAAGCATACACTACCACACCTGGCTAAAAATTACTCTTTTTTTTTTGTATTTAGGACAGGGTGTATAGGGTCTCAATGCATAGATTGGACTTGCAGTGATCCTCCTGTTTACAGACTCCCAAGTGCTGGGATTACAGGCACATACCACCATGCCCAGTCTCAACTGTTGGCTCAGTATGCCCTGGTGGCGGGGCCGGCACAGCAGGCCTCAGGATTGAACTCCCAGCCCCTGCACCTGCTTGCAGGCGCTTTAATCCACTGAGCTATTTGGCCGGCCTACAAATACAATTTTTAAATTGAAATCTTTTAATAGATTTTATGAATTTCATTTTCCAATTTCACTAATGTTACAACACCCTTTGGGATAATTTTAAGCACCTTCACAGATGATAAAATGAAGAAAACTATAGTACTGGGGGAAAGGATCAGCAGAAACAGTTCTCTGCTAGTTCTCTCTCCCACTTGAGCATTTTTCAAAGTCAACTTCTGGCTCCTGCAGGTGGCATCAATAGGAAGCTCTAGAGCCCCAAACATCAGCTTTCTATAGAGGCCTGTAATCATTAGACTACAAGCTGCCTGCTGTAGTCAGGGCTAAAGCAATTGCATCATTCTTGCTGCCTGCCACATTAAAGACAAATGCCTATAATCACAGCTACTCAGGAGCCTGAGGCAGGGGAAGCTTGAGGGTTACATCCTAACAGTCACTAAGTAAGTAGCATCTAGGTCCTGCGTTGGGTACTGGTGAGACGTGATGTGCAACAGAGGTATAGTCGCCACCTCTGACGTACCTGTTTTGTTAGAAAACAAAACACTTAGCCCACTTGTAGACAGCCTATGGGGCACACAGTCAGAGCGCTAAATGTAGACAATGTGATATTTAAAGAAGCACAGGAGTCTTGTCAGTGAAGGCAGAAGAGAAAAATGACCCAAGAAGAGGGAAAGGCACGAGCAGAGACCCAGAAACATGAGAAAACTGCGTGTTGGTACACCTCCTCAAGGCCAAAGAAATTCAAGGCTGGAAAAAGCCAGAGACTGGAGCTAGACTAGGGCCACATCATGAAAGGTGTATCCTGAGGGCAACAGGCAGCCTGGCACGGAGAAACATTCGTGAGTGTACACTGTTCCTTGGTATCTGTGGTGGATTGGGTCCAAGACCCCAAGGATATCAGAATCTTAGCACACTCAGGTCCTTTACATAAAATTACCCAGTACTTGCACATAACCTCTGTATGTCCTTCTGTACGCTTCTGATCATCCCTAGATTACCTAGAAGACCAAATGCAATGTGACTGCTGTGGAAAATTAAGGAAGAAAAGTCTGTATTGTTTAGTATAGATGCTTTTTTTTTTTTTTTGGAGACAAAGTCTCACTATACAGATCAGGCTGGACTTGAACTCCCTATCTAGCACAGGTTGGCCTCCAACTTGCAGCATCCTTCTGCCTCAGCCTCCCAAGTGCTGGGATTACAGGTGTGCACCATCACACTTGGGCTCTAATGGAATATTTTTTTCAAGTATTTTTGATTTATGAGTGGAATGTGCAGATGCAGAACCTATGGACATGGGGGCCAACGGTAATGATTTAAAGACTTGCCCAACCTTCTCTGGCTGCCCACTGCCCTAAGCTGTGTAAAACCCAGGCATGGCAACAAATCCAGAGGAAGGAAATTTTCAGATGGCCTGGACAGTCATCCGCATCTCTCCCCCATTCTGCTTGGTGAGTTTAATCTGAGTTAATTCATCCATTTTCACCTCAGACTCTACATATTTCTTGGCCTCTATTTCTTGGCCATCTTCCTTCTACCCACCCCTCCAAGGCAAAATGCTTCAGCTTTACTGTACTTTAATCATGTTTAAAAGCTCATGAGGCCACTGATGTTAGGGAAGTAGGCAAACTGTGGGTTCAAATCCTGGCTGTCACGAGAAGCAGCACAGCATAATGATGAAGAATATGGATTATGAGCTATTTTGCTGATCTGAAAACTGAGCTCTGCCACTAACTAGCCGTAAGACTTTGAGCAAGAGGCTGGGCCTTTGTGATGCAGTGTCCTTACCTATAAAATGGGAAAAATAGTAACACCTGCCCTGTAACGCTGAGGTTGTCATGAGGGGTGAGCTAATATAGGTTCTGCCCTGATAACAGTGCTGGCACATACGGTAAACAACACTCTGTGTTTGCTGTTATTGTTACAATGGCTAACTGTGGCTATGGTAGGTTATCGTCCATAAATCTCAGAGTTTTCTCTTTTGTAAGATAAGGCAACCTTGGAGTATAAGAAATAAAATACTGTAAAATAGAGCAAGTGTTTTGTCTCCACACTTGGTAACTGTGAGGTAACAGATGCTGGCTCTCGTCTCCCTCCCTGGGGTTGGAGACAATAGTGTTGCCTTGAAATCTTGCCCAATAGCACAGAGCCTAGCGCATGGTAAGGTGCTTAAAAACCTCTGAAAAGTTGCTCAGTGCCAAGGTACTGAAGACACAGATTCCGCTCCGCATAAATTCTCAGCCTGGAAACAAGAAACAACGAGGCGGCTGGGGATATAGCTCAGCGGCACAGCGCCTGCCTGGCATGTGTGAGGTGGAGAATTCAATTCCTGGTACTGAAAAAAAAAAAAAAAAAGAGGAGGAAAAGGAGAAGAAGAAGGAGGAAGAGGAGGAAGAGGAAGAGAAGCAAGAGGAAAAAGAAGAGGAGAAGGAGGAGGAGGAAGAGGAAGAGGAGGAGGAAGAGGAAGAAGAGGAGGAAGAGGAGGAGGAGGAGGAGGAGGAGGAAGAGGAGGAAGAGAAGCAGCAGCACATCAATGAAAGACTGTGAGACTACCTTCTCCACACTTACCCAGCCAGCAAATCCTCTACAAGGTAAAATCAACAATTTTGTTTCATTTGTCTCTAGTCTGTATTATCATTTGAAGACTTTGCCAGGCATAGCAGTGACTGTTATTGTGGCATTAATCTAATACCTAATTGCATTTCCTCCTAAACTGTTTGCAAGGGTTGCTTGAACCTCAGAAGAGTCAAATAAAAATAAAATAGTATAGACCCACCAAAAACATAATTCTCCAATTTGTAGGCAATCCATAAGTTTAGCCCAGTTTAACTATTACATAGTAAAGAATCAAAACATCACCACACATACCATAGAGATCTGGATTGCTGCGGATATATAATCTCACAAAGTTCTTCCCGGGTATTGGCAAAAGAGACCCTTTTATTCTGTCAAAGACCTGGAAAATAATATAGCAGTAATTCTACAGAGTACTTTATAAAGATGTTTAATAAATTCAATTAAAACAAGATTGAAACTCAGTTACTTGAGCTTTTATGATAGTACTTCTACATAAAAAGTAACCCTTTATTTTTGTAAGACTTCTTTCATTACAGAAAAACTTGGCCATGATTTGACTGTTTAATCATGGAAAAAAACCACACCTCCCTCATATAAAAGAATGAAACAGATTTACAAACCTGGTAAGTGTCCACATCAAAGAATGTTTGATAATACTCAAATGTCCAGAAGGGAGAGCTTTTCTTCTGTCCAGCAAGCAACTGTCAAAGGTAAAAACAAAACATAATGAAGGCTGGGGACTTAGCCCAGCAGCAGGGTATGTGCTTAGCATGGGCAAGGTCCTGAGTTTGGTCCTCAGTATCACAAGAAAAAACAAAAAACCAAAAAACTACTAGCAACAATTTCTGGCTGCTGAGAAAGGGAAAGACAGAGACAGAGAAAGAAAAAGAGAAACAGAGCAAAAGGGCTAGCCAGATAGCTCAGCGGACTCAAGCACCTGCTTAGGCAGAGCGCAGGGGCCAGGGGTTGATCCCTGGTGCACTGTGCCAGCCCTGCCCCCAGGGTGCATTGAGACTGGGCATGGTGCCATGTGCCTGCAATCCCAACGCTTGGGAGGCTGAAAACGGCCGGATCACCATGAGTCTGATCTGTATAGTGAGACCCTGTAGACTCTGTACTAAATACATTTAAAGAGAGAGAGAGAGAGAGAGAGAGAGAGAGAGAGAGACAGAGACAGAGACAAATAGAGCAGAGAGAGAGAGAGAGACAGAGTCAGAGTCAGAGAGAAACGGACAGACACAGATAGACACAGACTGAGACAGAGAACAGGGAGAGAGGGGAGAAGGGAATGAACTGATCTGATGAGAAACCAAAATACCAGGTGTATGAGAAATACCAGGTTATTCTGTGTTCAATGACCAATTCTGCAGTAGCCAATGTCCTGCTAGCCTGGCAGAGCAGCAAGCATCTGCTTTTTTTTTTTTTTTTTTTTTTTTGCAGAACTGGGGATTGAACTCAGGCCCTTGTGCTTGCCAGGGAAGTGCTTATTCCACTGAGCCAACTCCTCGGCCCGTAACTGCTTTTAACATACCAGCTTAGCCCCCACTGTGGGCAGCTCTAGTGAATCATCAGATTCCTTTCCAGCTCAGTTCCTTTAACTCAACAAATATTTGAGCTACAAACTTTCACAGGTGTACTATGTAACACTCACTTTGTTGGCTTATGAGCAAATCCAACTCGCAAACAATTCTCCCCAAACAGAACTCATTCATAAATCAGGAACTTACTGTACAGTTAATAAGATCTACCTCCTAGGAAAACAGGGAGGATATGTGGAGCTGGGGACTAGCTCAGTGGTACAGTGCACACGCATGAGGCCCCAGGATATTCCTCTGTTCCCACTGTGCAACAGCAGAAAGATTAGTGCATGGAATATGTATTCTGTAAATAATTACACACAGAGAAGACAGTTGGTGTAACCACCTTTTTGTCTCCCACCACTTTAAGATCCTTACTATTACTGCCACCTGTAGTCTTAAAAATCTGATATACTGATTCATTCTAAAGTATGAAAAATATTACCAACCTAGGGCTGGCCAAATAGCTCAGCGGACTAAAGCACCTGCTTAGGCCAAGCACAGCGGCCAGGGTTCAATTCCTGGTATGCTGTGCCAGTCCTGCTCCTGGGGCAGGCTGAGATGGCCACTGAGACTGGGCATGGTGGCATGAGCCTATAATCCCAGTGCTTGGGAGGCTGAAAACAGGAGAATCACTACAAGTGATCTATGCAGTGAGACCCTGTACTAAATACATTTTAAAAATTACTAATCTGACAGGAAGAAAAGAAAAAAGGGGCTGGGTAGATAGCTTGGCAGTCTAAGTGCCTGCCTGGCAAGTGCAAGGACCTGAGTTTGATCCCCAGTACCACATGCTGTGCCAGTCCCAGAATCCCAAGTGCACTGTGTGGACCCCGAAACTAGGCGTGGTGGCGCACACTTATAGTCCCAGCGCTGGGGAGCCTGAGACAGGAGGATCACTATGAGTCCAAGGTACATAGTGAGACTCGATATTTAATAAATAAAAATTAAAAAATATATATGTTCAAAAAAAAAAATTGCGAAAAGAAAAAAAGGAAAAAAACAACATTCCACAGTACAGGAGGCCCTGAGAAGGTCTTAGCTGTCCCCACAACACAGCTAACCAAGGGTAATGCAGACCTAATGGCAGGACTACCAGTTCCTTCTCCCTTTCTTTCTCCTGTACTGGGGGATGAGCCCAAAGGACTGTGCTTGCCATGCAAGTGCGCAATCACCGAGCTACATCCCCAGCCTTTTTGATTTGATTTCGAGACAGTAATATGGATGTACAATTGTGGCCATGGGGCCACTCCTCTCCACTCGTTGCAGGCCATGTCACCTTACTCACCTGAAGCTAGGCAATACTAGCGGACCAACTCCCAACCACCACCACCACCACCACCTTTGTCATAAGGCTTACCACACAGAGGCAGAGATAAGCACAGAGCTCTCCAAGCCTGGCCCGGAAAATTCTAAATTCTAAACCAGGATGCCCCCGCACCAGACCTACCAGCACAACTTACAATAATCTTTCTTTTGCCTAGAGTTCACTGCAGGTTCATGCATGTGAACTGCATTTCACACATCCACTTATAACAGCGTATCATGGGAAAGGATGTGCACAACAGACACAGATGACGGGACACAGCTCCCTGTCCATCATGTTGTCAGTCATGCTTTGGGAGACCCCAGAACCACTGCGAAATTTAACTCCTGAGCCTTGTGCCCTCAGTGCTCATGGCATTTTCTTCATGCAGACACACTTCATTTTGAGTGTACTATCATTTTAATAAACTGTGCTGCTTCGCCCATAAGTGGTATGCCACATCCAATTCCTTACTCATCATGCACAAGAACTCAGGAATCTCTCTCAGACCCATCACCCATGGATACATCTTGGCGAGTGAGCCAGGAGGTAAGGTCCCCTTTGGGGAAATTTTACATTTTTCTCTTTCCTGTTTTTAAACTCTTCCAGGAGCAAGAAAACTTCCATACATTGCTCAGATTTATGTTTGTGTGATTTCTCTTTTGCCACAAACCCTTGAAGCTTGGGGATTCCTTTTCAGTAGCTAGTCTCTGAAGCCTAAACATTTTAGGCTGAGGGAGGCCCTCTAAACTCTTTTTAAAATCCCTCTCACTCAGCATCCCCATTCTTCATAAAGCAAAGAGGCAAGATTCTTTTATCTCTGAGAAAATACTTTGATCTTTCATATTGAAGTTTGCATCTACCATTTTGTGAAGTGGATCATTGGAAAGGCAGGGAGTTGGGGATGGAGAAAAGGGCCTAGGCAGGAGTGAAAGGACTGCACAAGGGGTCAAGCTTTAAAGCTAGGTCTGGCCTGGGCCACTGGCAGCAGTGGTTCTAGAATCCTACCTTCCCAGGGTAACTGGCTCAGAGGGCTCCCCAGTTTGTTGGTCTCTTTCCCTAGGGACTCATCCTATTCCTGGTTTTGTCATCCATTGGGCTCCTTACCCATTTACTTTCCTTAGCCCTTTGCAAGTAAGCAAACTCCACCTACCCTACTTGTAACAGCTGGGGCAAAAACTGGTTTCGACCCTGGCTAGTAGATCAGGACTGAAAAAAACATTTGTCAAATTATTCAGCCAGGGTCCCCAAGAGGCAGGAAAATTTTTCAGTATTTCACTGAGGTGTCTTTAGGGAAGCACTTACCACCCTTCCATAGTTAGGCATGTCATAACTTTGGATGATTCTACTATTGGCTAGAGGTGTCCAGCCAGTAAGGTATCCTAGCTCCAGACCCCTGTCCTGGCCAAAGGGGAAGATCCAGAAATCCAAAGGAAGTGACACTGGTGCCAACACAAGGCCAGAGACACCAGCAACCCAACTGATGACCTACTGTTCCAAATAACTAGATGGGGTGGCACATGGTTGACCTAGTTGCCTATAAGCAAGCTGCTATGGTGCTCTAAGTGAACAATGGGACAGAAACTCTCAGCTCTAACTGCACACCAAGTTAAGGCCTGTTAGAGCTCAAGGGATATGTGTGGATACTGGATAGAGACTCACTAAATACTAAGTTACTCTTGTTAAAAACCCCAACGACATTCTTAAGTCTAGCCACCTTCCTCTCAACTAATTAACAGGTAGAACATAAATCTGAACAAGCCACTGACCAGAATTATGCCAGCTGCCCTGATCTTTGGGACCAGCCACTGATGGAGCAGAAAGCACATGGCTCACTAAGGGCAGGAGTTTCACAAAGGGTGGCATTAGGAGACCTGGGCCTGCCACGATCACCCTAATCAGGCCACTAAAGCAAGAGGACTTCCTCCTTTAACCTCAGCTCAAAAGGCAGAACTTACTGCCTTCATCTGGCTCTTCAATTTGCCCAGGGTAAAAGGGCCAATATATACTGACTCCACGTATGCCTTCCTGATCTTACACAGACACAGACAGACAGACAGACAGACAGACAGACAGACAGACAGACACACACACACACACACACACACGCCATCTGGAAAGAAAGGAGACTTTGGGTTTTTTTTTTTAAAAGGTTTTGTTTTGTTTTTTGTTCAGGGTCTCACTATGCAGCACAGACTCGTAGTGATCCTTCTGATTTCTGCCCCCTAGTGCTGGGATTACAGGAGTACGCCACCACACCCAGACTCCATTGCTAGCTCAGTGCGCCTGGGGGTTGGGCTGGCATGGCATGTGGTGCCAGGGATCAAACCCTGGCCCCTGTGCTTACCTAAGCAAGTGCTTAGTCCGCTGAGCTACACCACTAGCCCTGAAAGGAGATTTTGACCAGCCACCAGTCACCAATAAAACAGACCACAGAGGGACCGGGGAGATGGCTCAGTGGAATAAGCGCTTCCCTGGTAAGCGCAAGGGCCTGAGTTCAATCCCCGGTTCCACCAAAAAAAACCCCAAACAAACAAACAAACAAACAAAAAACAGACCACAGATCCTCACCCTCCTGGAGGTGGTAAATCTCCTTAGATAAGTAGCAGTTTTTATTGCTGGTTCCTTGGGTCTCCCAAATTCAAAAGCAGATTTGGCTGTCAAATAGGCTGTTTTAAAAATAACCCCAGCCCATCAAAAACTCTTCCTGGGGCCTAATTTCAAGATTATAACTTGTAGCCAGGGTGCTCTACAGAAGAGCTGCAGATGATTGGTGATGAGGGAGTCCAAAAGAACCAAGGGTGGTACCTGGGGCTCTGGCTGCTCTTGCCAGTGATCATGGTGCCAAGTCACAAAGTCATGACATGCCTTCCTGACCTCAGATTTAAGAAACCTGCCAATGGTAACATAGTCTTGGGAAGGGCACTTCCACTTCCTTGAACCTGGCTTCATTCATCTGAAATATGAGAAAAGGGTGGGATGCTACTGCCACTATGGCAGATAAACTCGCTATAGGCCCTGGAGCTACTCTTATGGGCTCCTTCAGCCTCTTACTGCAACTACATTGGCAAGAACTTCTGTTTAGGAAAATGAAAACAAACAGCTCACACATATGTTTACTACTGAAAATAATTTCTGGCTTAAGACCCATGCACTTTTCTTGCTCTGTGGCACTGATTCCTCTTTGTGTCTTCTAACAAACCGGGCAGAAACATGCACCTCCTTCTTTATCTGGCTCCGGTGATCAATACAGCACCTGATAACCAACCCCTTGCAGCTCCTCTAGCCACCGGAACAAGAACCAAGCAAGGCCACAGCACTCATTCCTCTCCTAGTGGGTCTGGGCATAGCAATTAGAATAGGCAGTGGAGTAGGAGGACATGATATAGGAGATCAGGGCATGGCAAAGCTGGCTCAGGAGGGAGAGGTGACCTGTGAATTATAGGATCCTGGAGCACACATGTGGAACAGTTCCCAAAGCCCTGCACCTGGATTTCTTGTGAGCAACTAAGCAAGTTTTCTAGAGGCTGGCCTAGAGCTGACATCCGCCTAAGGCATGGGACCCCAGCATTACCCCTCAGGACCTGTATGTAGAAGTTCTCACGGGTTTCCTTGACATCTGGACAGTACAAATGACACAGATGCCAAAGAGTTTGCTATCATGGTTTTCCTCAACACAGTCCACCTTGCTTCTTCCATTTTCCTTTCTCTTCTTTTACTCAACCCAAGCAGAGACAGTTTCTCTGTCTTCACTTTTACTTTCTCAAATAAATTTTGTTACTGCTTTTTGTTCCTTTCATTTAATTCTTTGTTGGTGATGAGAACCTAGACTCTAACTCCAGGAGGAGAGGCCAATGACCCAGAAATGGCAACATGTAATTGGTAAGCCACTTTTAGAAGGAGCTACCCCGTAACATTTCTACTGAGCTACCTTCAGCCCTTTTTACTTTTGTAAATTTGAAACAGGGTCTCATTCAATCACTAAATTGCCTGGGGTGGCCTCAAATTTGCAATTCTCTAGCTTCAGCCTCCCAGAGTGCTGAGATTATAGTGTGTAACCATGCCTGGCTGTATGTTTTGGGTTTTTTTTTTTTTTTTTTTTGGCAGAACCAGGGATTGAATTTAGCCTTTGCACAAGCGCTTTTCTACTGAGCCATCTCCCCGGCCCCATGTATCTCTTTTTAAACATTGGCGCCTGGTGTTAACTCTCTGTGATGTTTACTTCATGTGTCTACTGGTGTGGGTCACGGTGCAGGGATACTAGTTAAACATTCTCCTCAATGTTTCTGACAGGGTGTTTGACTGGGTAAAGCAGATTGTCCTCTATAATGCAGGAGGGCCTCAGCCAAATAAGCCAAGGCCTGACTAGAATAGAAGGTCAGCCCCACCCCATCCCCAATCACATCTTGCCCTTCCCCAGGAAGCAGGAATTCTCTCAGCAGATGGCCTCTAAACTGTACTTCTCCTTGAGACTCCAGCCTGCTGGCTTCCCTCATCAGAGTTTACATTTGCCAAGCCTCCACAATCACTTAAGCCAACTCCTTAAAATAATCTTTCTTTCTCCAAATATATCTTATTGGCCCTCTTCCTCTAGAGAACCATAACATACTCAACTATAGGAATAACACCCCTAGACCTGAGAGAACCCATTTTAGAAAGCATTTAACATCTGCTTCCTCTTGTACACTGTCTAGCAGTAAGAAATACAGGCTCTGGACTCAGATGGCCTTGAGTTAAAGTTCCATCTGCTACCTGGAAGTTGTGTCTAGGGAAGTTATCAAACTGTATGCCTCAAGTTTCTCATTTATAACATGAGGATAAAAATAGCTCCTCGGCCAATGGATCTTTTTTTTTTCTTCCCTGGTACTAGGGATTGAACCCAGGGCCTTCACAATGAGCTACATTCCCCAGCCCTATTTTATTTTGAGACCAGGTCTCACCATGTCACTAAGTTGCCCAGGTTGGATTTGAACTTATGATGTTCCAGTCTCAATTTTGAAGAGTGCTGGGATTACAGGTATATGGCAATGCAACAGGCCTTGGGTTTTGTATGTTTGTTGTTTTTCTGAGATTCTATTAGATGATGCAAGATACTTTAACTGGGGGCTGGGAGCTTTTAAACACTGAGTAACAATCAACCATCATCAATGATGACAGTGACTACAAAGACTCAACTGATCCTTTTCTCTTATTTCAAATGAGCAAAGCCAGGTTCAAGGAAGTGAAAGTGCCCTTCCCAAAACCATCTTACCATTGGTAGGATCAGGTTTTTTATTTTTTGGTGGAACCAGGGATTGAACTCAGGCCCTCGCAATTGCCAGGGAAGCACTTACTCTACTGAGCCACCTCCCCACGCCCCAGGATCAGGTTCTTAATCTGTGTTTCTGTCATAATATTTATTTTTTTTCTGTCATAATATTTAGTATATAACATCACTTAATTCAACATAAAATTTAGCACTTATTTTGATATTCATGCAGTTTCAGTAAGAGTACCTAATACTCAGGAGTTGTAAGTTCAAGGCCAGCCTGAGCTACACAGACCCTATTGCTGGGGGGGGGGGGG